AGGTGGTCAAAGGTTGTGTCAGCAACGGCTCTTGAGTGGAAGCTAGCTCTGACGGTGAAGAGTCGGAGCTGTATCTATGAAGCAGTGAATGATGTGGCTTCGAACACACGCGGCACTTAGAGGATTGACACGTAAGAACGGAATGCCCTTTCCTTAGGCAGTTTATGCACAATGGGAATGTCTTAGCGAATTTGAATCGTGTAGCGACCGTTGCTGCCACAAACGAACTGCACGCGTGAATGTAGTGATCCACAGCTTTGCAATAATAGCATTTTGGATCCTGGGTTCGAGTAGTATTGGCAACGGACAAGGAAGTTTTACTAAAGTTCTTTACAGAATTTGGCCGCCCCAGCTTACGAGACCTTTGCGTGCTTGACGTAGCTTCATCTGCTGCTAAATGTTGGTAGCGTTTATTGAGTGCATCTTGGCAGTCCTGCCAAAGGGGGATGTTTTGAAAGTCTAAACTTTCTTCCCATTTAGACTTAGTTTTTGCGTCCACTTTGGTCATGACGATGTGTATGAGCATTGCATTTGCTATTACTTTGTCACTGCCTAGTGAAAGCAAGGACTCGTAGATAGCTGTGACAGTATCTATCATGTGACGTAGTGATAAGGCGGAAGGACCCTGCATTGAGGGAATGTCGAAGAGGCGTGAGATACAATCAAAAAAATTAAACACTGATTGTCGTACACCCGATTTAAGGCGGCTAGTGCCTTTGGGTAATTGGTCTCAGTTATTTGATATGCTTTCACGGTCCCCAACGCTTCTTTCTCCAGACATGACAACAGGTGATTAAATTTTTCGACGTCGCTAAGAGTTGGATCGCTATCTATGAGACTAGTGAATAAACCAATAAAGTTCTTGTACTCTGAGTAGCATCCGGAAAACTTAGGTAAATTCATTCGAGGTAAATTTTTATTATGGGAGCTTGTGGTATTAAGGGTCGAGCTAAGTAATGGTGGTCTTTGATTCTGTCCACTAGCTGACATATAAAGAGATTTTGTGGCTACACACTTATCCTCAAGCTCAGCTCGCGAGGACAATGCCGGATTAATGGACTCAATTTCATCTTGAAGGTTAAATGCACGATTTATGTAATTGTTTAAAATGTGATTTGTTGTTGCATAAACTCTCCCATGCGGTCTATGTCACCCTTAACACTTTCAAGACGCGAGAGTAATAAGTTAGCACGATCGTTGCCATCATTGACATCATGTGCACTTGAACTTTGTTGACGACTTAAACGTCACTTCGGAGCCATGATGCAATTTTACGCTAAAATGTCAATATAAGTGAATCTTTGCCAGCCAATGATTTAATTTAAATTGAATTCTCAAGTAGAAAGCACAGTTATCTAGTGTTACGATAGGTTATTGATTGAACTTATTTTAACTTTGGAACCTTGTTATAACTTTACCCGAATTGTATGTGAGCTGAAGACAAATACAGCAGAGAGACAAATTGAACAACTCGAATCCACTAAACTCGGGCTAAGCGCAATCAAGGTGCTGCAACGATTCCCAAAGCTCCCTCTGATCGATGAACTGTATTTTTGCTGTATGTATGTGTGTGTGATGTGTGCGATGGTATGTGCATGTGAAGAGAGAAAGAACGGCACCAAGCAACTAAAGAACCAACCTGTAATCTTGACACGTGTTTGCCTCAAAACTTACGCCTTGGCTGATTTTTGCAGGCTTATGTATGTAGGTCATTTACCGAAATTTTATCAATTTGTTACTTAGCGATTAAGGAAATCCAGCGGCGTGTCCAGTACAAGCCCAAACTGAGATTTCACGGTGACTGTATATATGTAAAGCTGATCTGCTATATGAACGGTGAATTCCAGCGGCGTGTCGAGTACAAGCCCGAACTGAGATTCCACGGTGAATGTATAGCTGATCTGCTATGTATATATGATGATACGTCCTTCTGGGTCCACCCGGGGGCGCCAAAAAACTGTTTGCTCCAAATTGGCATACTGCGAGATTGCCTGTTTCAGGCCAGCAACTATGGTCCCAGTAACAACGCATCAACCGAATTCAATCCAAGTTCTTTTATTACTGTTTCCTATCTGCTCCTTCTATTCTTTTCTTCGAAACTGCGACGCAGCGAGTAACAAGAGCGAGTACTACTTACTACTTAACAGAGTGATAACATTTTTAGGCGGTACAATTCAAATATTTCTCCTAAGTATGGGAGTAAGGAACACACGTAGAGATCTTGCAGCTCGTGCTCGTTGGGGGTTATTTTATTTGCTCGTAGCTTGCTATGCCCCGTCTCATAGCTAAGTAGCCCAAGTTGCGAGTTCTACGTATTTCCCTTACCTATTATTTTTTTAAACAAGTTACGACTAAACACTGTTCATGAACAGTGTGAAAACTAAGCGTCCATGGTGTCTTCCTTGAGGAACACCAGATGTAACACGAACTAAGCGCGAATAAATGCCTTTAAAAGAGACACGTTGGGTTCTTCCAGTTAAGAAGCTTGAAATCCAATTGAGCTGATCAGTTTAAAACCCAAAAGACTGAGTTTACTTAAAAAGTAACTATGTAACAAAGTCGAATGCTTTACTAAAAAAACTGTTAAGGGGAGCAACAGAAATAAAGGTGTTACTCCAATAAGTTGGTAGAAAAACTCAGTTTATTTCACTCAAAGGTCTATCGAATCTTATATTTTTAACTTAACTAACAGTCATATTGACTGATACAGAGTTAGACGGCCCTAAAAATCGATTGCTGGGTTGGGAGGTCGTTGCGTCTCAGGCGGGATACGCTAGAAAGCCGAGACAACCCCCGAGCGAGAAACTTTGGGTGCGAAGACTGTTTTTCTTTGTATGACTCTTTTTGCTTCTGGATTTCGTCTTTCACTGAGAGGATGCCCAGATCCCGGTGGATGTTTTCGTTGCGAACATACCAGGGTGCCCCTGTGATAGTTCTCAAGATTTTTGATTGTGCGCGCTGTATGATGTCTATGTTGCTGCTGCTGCGCGTTCCCCCACAGCTGGGAGCCATACGTCCAGATTGGCTTTAGGAATGAATTGTACAGTAGTAACTTGTAGTCCAGGCACAGTGGCGATCGTGAGTTTATGATCCTGTGGAGGCGGCTGGCTTTCAGTTTTAGGTGAATTTTCTTGCATTCGATGTGCTTACGCCAGGTAAGTCGTCTATCAAAATGGACGCCAAGTTACGTTACTTCGTTAGCTTGAGGGATCTGCATACCGTTTAGTAAAAGGGGAGGGCATGTTTTTCTATTAAGAGTAAACGTTATATGTTCACACTTTTGCTCGATTATTTTAATGCGCCAATCGGACAGCTACCTTTCCACTATTATAAGATGATTAGCCAGTTGGGTTTTTGCCTGCGTTGGGATACTAAGGATAGCGGTATCGTCGGCGAACATTGACGTTGTTAGTTGTGCGCTCGTAGGAATATCCGCAGTATACAAAACATATAGACACGGGCCGAGTGCGCTTTCTTGTGGAACTCCAGCTTTGATGGTGTAGTCGCCCGAAGTAGCTGCGTTGCATCTCACTGAAAATACCCTATTGTAGAGGTATGATTCCAGCAGCTTGTGGGTGTATGTTGGCAAATAGCAAATCGTCGCTACGAGTCAAGCATCCCGAATTGTTTCTTATCGGGGTGGTCGTTTCAATTGGGGCGCTAAGATTAGGTAGGCCCTCCACAGGGCGTACTTTGTGCTTGTTCGCGAGAGATTCTGGATGTACCTCAGCTGTGCATTTTCTTCCTGTTGGTGAAGAGCCTGGTCGAGTGATCGGGTCGCTTCCTTAAGTCGTTGTTTTATAGCTGGTGATCTGCTGTTTTGCCAATCACGACGCGTGTGCCTCTTTTTTCGCACGAGCTGTTCGATTTGCTGATTAGATTTGAAGTATTTTTTTCGGTCTACTTCTTTCCCATGAGGAATAGATATTTTAGCTACCGCAACGAGTACTTCTTCCAGGGCGCTCGTAGTGTAGTCGATGTCCGATTCCATGTTAAACTCCGGGGCGAGTTCTATGTGGGCACTCACGTACTTTTTGTATTTTAGCCAGTTCTTTTTGGCGTCGTCAGGCTGAAGGGGTGTTCGGTTATTTCTAGGCTTTTACACTGCGAACTCCATGACGCGGGAGTCGGAGCGAGCAGAGCGGGTCAGGAAGACCGTGCTCTTTGGGTTTCAGCGGTCAGTAGAGCCGGGTTGCTCTTAATCGCCGATTTTTCCACTTTGGTATAGCGGGTTAAAAAGTAAGAGTAGAAGCCGTTTCTTTGGTTCACTGAACATCTTTTGATCAGTTTTTTTTTTTTTATTAGCTGTTTTATGTTGCAGTTTTCCCGGAGCTATGACAAAGCACGTCCGCTCAGTACGGTAGTTCGACTATAAATGAATTTCCAATTGAATTCAGAATTTTTTGTTCGTTGCTTTAAGAAAAAAGTAGGGTTTTTAAGAAAGGGATCAAAGTGTTAAATACTTTTTTTTGTCTAGGAAAAAGTCGTTTTGCAATTTTTCCAAGTTTATTTTTGACGCGAAGCGGCGAAATGACTTTAAAGGTCCGAACCAGATTGAATTTTTTCTCGGATTTTTTATTTTTACTCTCTTGAGTTCTAAATTTGCACGCTTCGAGTGATATCCAAGCAGAAAAGGCCTGCTATATTTTCAATTATTAAAAAGGTTCGTTTAAAATCTAAGCCCCGGAATCGTGTTAACGTATCTTTCCCCGTGCTCTTTAAATAGAAGTGCGTACATTTGGTTAAATTACCATGATGTAAACGCAAAAATTACATTTAGTGACAAGTATACCTAAATCGTCACTCCAACAACAAAAACTAAAACTGCTTGAGTTATTAGCTGACGGTCAATTTCAATATCAAGAACCACTTTACTTGCAGTATTAGGGAATACTCTTGTGGACGTCAAGCTTTCAGGAATCCTGAACTAAAACTCTCAATCAAAAATCAAGAAATTAAATATTTTCAAACTATATTTATTATTTTGACGGTTGTAAGCATAAGCTAATGTTAGTAATGTAAGCTAAAGCTAAAAGTAATGTTTTAGACCATTTAGACCATGTTTTTAGACCATTAATTTGACCATTGATTGTAGTTATAAACTTCCGTTGAAGAGCAAAGGTTCGGAAAACCCGGATTGCGACCTGATATACAGTCAGAAGCTGGACTGCCGCCTCGGTAAACGGGATTGTTAATGACGTTGGTAACAGCATAGTTACAGACTAATAAAGTGGCTTGTACGCTTCTGTTGTCAGTGAATCTGAGAATAGCACATCCTACTCTATTATTGCGCTCGTTGACCATGGTGGTAAAGTGACCAATGGGTCTAAAAAAGAAAAATAAGTAAATTATTTTTTTGTATATTTGATCTTAAATGATCTTTTTATATCTTGATCTCAAATTTTAAATTAAATACGTACGGCCCACCACGCATCTGATAGTTTTCCATATCTGCACTAGTTGCATATCGGCTTTCTTCAAACCAAGAAGAAATTCGTTGACGCAAAAAATTTGGGATTTCAGTGTTGCGTGTAAAGAGGATGCTCAGATTCTGGCCGGAAAACTTATATGTATTTGTATTGCGGCACTCATCGTGGGCCATTCGGCATTGTAAAGCGTTGTATGCAGCTAGTTCAGACAATGTCTGGTCCCAGCTCATTGTGCCCATACGAACGGCAGTGGTAAAACCACTTATTCCCCCTCCAGAAATAAGGTTGCGGCGCTCATTATGTAACTGCAAAATAAGTTGGATATGTTCGTTTATCTGAACAAACTCACCACTGCAGCCACTTGCAAATCGCTAAAAAAAAGTCAACAAGTGAATAAAATTAATGGGAATGCAATGCAAAATAATAAAAATTACAAGTTTAAAATGGTTAACAGTCAGCAGATGCACATAAAAGGTTGCTATGCTTCATTTTGTTTGATTTTTTAATTCCTTCATTTCTTGTATATGCTTTTATATTTATTTCTATTTCTTTTATACTTTACAAGTACCCCGTATAAAAATAGTAAGGCGCGTAAATAGTCCAGCTGTTTGTAGTTAATTTATTTTATTATCCTTTTATTTTTCGACATTTATTTTACTCTTTGAATGAGAGAAGATGTTAAAGATTAATAATTTAATGCTAAATAATGCTAATAATGCATTAATAACTTTTAATGCTAAATATTATGTATCAATTACACAGTTGTTTGGTTGGGTCGACAGGTTATTTGATCGTAAGGACGTACACGGACGAAGTGGACAGGTGGACGTTCGAGGTTCGAGTGGACGAAGAGATAAATAAAGTATTTTTATGTTACTAATCTTGTACTCTGTCAAAAAGAGAAAGAATTCCATTTCCATGCAAATTTTCTGCATAGAGATAAGGTTTTACAAAACTTTGCCTACTCAATCTCGTCTAATTGATGGTTACTTTTAATGTAACATAAGGTGCACTGTCCATAAGATTTTAGGATTTTGCGTAAATGGAGCCATTGAATTGAGTGTGTGGGCTTTCAATAATTTTTATTAAAGTAAACAGACAGTAGTTCAATTCGATGCTGTCCATAGTTTAATTTTTTGAGCGCTGAGATGAGGCAGAGTGCCAACGCACGGGTATATCGATACGAAAAGTTTCCTTTGGCTTCGCAAAAGGGGTTCGCAGCATAGCAACAGGTTGGATCAGGTCAGGGGGCGATCAAGTGTTAGGCAAGGATCGAAGGCTCACACGAAGCGTGCTTTCTTTTCGTTTTGACTCCCCAAAGTGATCACAAGTTGGTTAAAAATAAAGATAAAAGAAAGGCAGTACGGAAGGGCCAATCAAATTTCAAAAAAATGTGAAGACTGATTCTTAAGCCAGAGCAATAAATTTCGAAGAGAAAGAGACAGGGAAGACCTAGCGAGATCAGTACTCCGAAGATTGTGTCCAGCCATGCCGGGTTTAGTTTAGGACAGTGAGGTTAGATGGAGGCTCTAATGTACCTTTGTAGGAACGCAAAACCGGAGCTTTGGCGAAATTTGAGTATCTGTCCCATGGACCCCATCGTTAACGAGCATAAAGAAAGCGGAAAACTTTTCGGAGCATTGGCGAATCAGAGAGGATGATTCTTTTCGGAGGGTGGCACGAGCCCGTTGCAGGCGTCTGCAGAAGGCGTGTTATGACTTCCCTGCAGTTCTGAGCGCTAGTTCGTTGCTGGTGAAATAAGCACATACCAGCAGACCACCACTACTTACAAAGTGGCGTCTAGTCATGCGTTTCTTAATTTCCGTTTTAGTATAAAATGTCCGCAAATAGGGTCAATCGCCACCGCCTCGATTACCCACGAACTAGTAAAATAGTGCAACATATTAGGGTCTTTAAAGAAACTACTTACATTAGACCCCATGGAACGGCCGGTAAAATAAGTGCTTACATCGAACCCCATGGAGAGGTCGGTGAAGTAAGTACTTACATTGGACCCCATGGAGGGGCCTGCCATTATAAATTAAAAAACATATGCAATTGCAATTACAGATTTTATTTAGTTTAAATTTTTCTTTATTATAACGGGGTTTGTTCTTTCATTACTTTTAGGCTGCTTGAGTTTTTAAAATATCTCTTTTTTTGGAGCTGCAAGGCCTTTCTCAATTGTTCCTCAGATGGGCTAATGCCGCCGACTGCAGTTATTAAATCTAGAAATAAAAAGGATTAAACAAGTTTTAATAGATTGAAGTCGATAATGATTATTAGAAAATTATCTTTTAAAATACTCACCGATCATTACGCCAAAGAAATGTTCTTCTTTTCTTAGGGCACCTTTCCCCTGAACGCCATCCACATTATACGCCAAGACCACTTCATTGGCTGAAATATATTAATTTTCATAAAATACATAAAATATGCATAAACATATATTACAAACATATATTATTTTTTAAATCACTCACCTGATAATCGATTGATCCGCTTTGCACTTCTTAACTCAAATGCTTGCAAAATTTTCGTCAGCAAGCAAACACAGCTGCGTTTAAGCGAAAGATTCGCACAAAATAAAACAAACTGTTATTTCTGGACAATTGTTTTAGTAAGCAGTGCACCGAATACGCGTAAACAAACAGCGATGTAAAGCATAATCGAAGTTTTGTCTTTAATCTTGTGTATGCTCTTTCCAAAAAATTACAAAATAACGGCAAGCATCGCTTTTGTTTTCGTTCTTATGCTTTAATGCACATATATATATAAACTGGGTGGTTCGACGTTCGTTTACTATAGGGTCACTTTAGTAAGTACCCATGTAGTGATCGGCGAGGTAAGCACTTACCCATGGCCAACCGACACCTCCAGTTCTGCAGGGATTGTATCGGTGCATAGCAGAGACTATAGAATACGGCGTATTCGAATCAGAACGAATGAACCGGGAAAGAACCCCACGGGGAAAACGAAATAGTGTAGTAAAGTGGACACTCCAGACAAATTTTTGAGCCCGGGCATGAACCCCGCGGTAATTTTACAGTTATAGTATAACGTAATTTTGATGGCAACTCGAAACGCCTCAAGTCGCTCATGTAAATTACCGTAACTTATCTCTTAATTTATCTTATCTCCCAATTTGATGCGTTAGTTTCTTAATAATGATCCTAGTTTTAAAAATATAGCTATTCAGATTTCGTAATATATCCCAACTTTACGTATCATTTATAAAGAAGCCAAATGAAGTTTATTGTTATTAAGTTAGAAGAATAAAGAGATACAATATGGATTTATATTAATAAAACCTTTGTACTGCATTTTGTGTCTGATATGTCGCCGCTGTGCAGTCGCCCAGTGGTTCCCAGGATGTGAGCAGACAAGTGGTTAAAGGGTGACCGGTCCGTAGGGGTCTGACTCCAAACTGGGTGTGAACCGCCAAGGTAAAGGCGAAAATATAGCTTTCTATTTCAAGAACTCTCTTTTTGACCCTTTACTCCTGGTCCGTAGCAGCCAAACAAACGTGACTGCACCCACAAAAATGGCGCACGCCACGGCAGCTGATGATCGGCTTGTGACCAGTACTGGGGAGCGTCTGGTCGGTAGACCGCGTCTGCAGAATCCCGCTAGGAGGCGCCTTGAAGGTACTTGAAGGTCGAGCTGGAGGGTAGCATATATCTCAGGGCTGCTGACCCATGTTCTTTAACCAACAAGGTGCGAAAAGGGCTGAAAACACTGGCCTGCTACGAGGTGATAAAGGAGCTGACCAACTGCTAACTCCTCCACTACTGCGGTTCACTCATGAAAGGGGCTCTGGCGACCGAGCTGGAGCGGTACTTCCACCGCTTCCACCAGGAGAAAATTCTAGGCGCACCGGTACAATGCAGCGCAGTTACCCCCATTCGCACCATGCACTAATACTTGGAATGCTACAAGTGTAGAACCAGAGAGCACCAGAACGGGTGACCCGTTCTGACCCAAGGGCCGGAAGGACGTGACACATTAGACTGGGCGTAGAAGTTGCACCCATGTCAATGAAAGCAGGTGGACCAAGGATATCAGGATGCTAGTGCTTCAGCTGAACCGGAACCTCTGCAGAGCGTCGCATGGTTTTATAGCACAGATAGGATAGGAGGCACTTGGCTTTACAGCTGCTTCCTGGCACTTAGCGTAACCACCAGTGCCTTCGAGCGCATCATTGACAACCTGGGGAACGATATCAGAGGCCGTTTTGAGAAATGGCTGTCTGAGAATAAATGCAAGAGGAAAAGTTGTGAGAGAAATTTTTTTCTTTACTCGTCCTCGTGCTACTGAACGAGGAGAACCTTCAGCAGACCTGCGGCAGGATCGATCATTTAACTCACGTTCGCCATTTCCCAGCTAGAAAGTCAGCTAGAGCGTTTGAAGAAACCAAACCCTCGAGACTACAGAGTCTGTACGCTCCAGATGAGGAATTTCACCAACGTGCGACATCAGCAATGTCCCACCAAGCGGAACCAACGAAATGGTTGACACAATTGCTTTTTTACCGAAAAAAGCACCCCAAGTTCGATCAAATGTAAAAGTTTTTATCACTGTTTTCTTTGGTGCATCAGGAGTTCTTACCATATGGTCGTATGGTCAATAAACAGTATTATCTGGAAGTTATACGCTGTTTGCGAGAACCATATTCACCGAATTTGGCCCCATGTGACTTTTTTCTTGTTCCCTAAACTAAAGAGACCTATAAATGGACGGAGATTTGCAACGATTAAAAAGATATAGAAGATAAAGACTGCATTGCTGGAAGAGCTCAAGGCTATACCGAAAAATGCTTATGGGGAGTTCTTTGAGGATTGGAAAAACCTAGGAAAAATCGGAAAAAATTGGAATTTTTTGGAAAAAGATTGGAAAAATCGGTCCTAGGACCGTCATGTACGACAGTATCCTGGGGCTGCATTTTTCAGCTGGATGCGGTCTGTGATAATGTTGGTGGTTGTGGCCAAGCAGCGGGATGAAGGGAAGAAGGGATTGAAGAAATAGGGTCATTTTAGCAGAGGTTCCAAAATTTTTTTTTTGTAATAGCAGGGTAATGTTTATTTAAAACTGTCCATTAGGGACAACCATTAAATTTTATCACGTAAACTTCACGTATAGATAATTTTAAATATTAATATGGTAGAAAAAAAAATTAGAGTAGTAAGGGGAGGTCCAGCGGGTGTGTCCTTTTAAGTCTTCTGGGTTGCTCGCTGCTGTCCAGCAGGGAGCTGGCCAACCGGTTCGGGTGATTATGAAGCCTCTGCATGTAACGTGCGCTGCTTCTTTGTATCTCGTCCTTGACCCAAGGGAAATTGAGAACCTCGTGGATGGTGCGATTGTCATGATAGAC